TCATGTTGAACGTAACAACATCGGTCAAACTTCCTCCCTCCATATATTCCATGACAACCCAGAGCTCGCCGCCGGCAAGATAGCTGTCGATGAAGTTAACGATGTTGGGATGCGAGCTTTCCTTCATGACCAAAATCTCGTTAATGATTAGATCCTTCTTGGGCTGTTGTTCCAAGTTCATCTGCTTGATGGCGACAAGGCGGTTCGTACCGCGCTCATGTCCGGTAAAGACACCACCAGAAGCGCCCTGGCCAATCTTGTTAAGACTGCGGTACACCTCGCGCGGGTCCCCATCGGTACAGATGCGCTTGAGGGCGGCCACAATATCAATACCGTTGCTGGGTCGGGCTCGGTGGCGCGGTCTTGAGCCTGGCTGGCCAGGAACGCCGACGTTCGAGCGCTGTTGACCCTGAGGGCCAGGTACGCCAGCGGCTTGAGGATATTGCTGTTGAGCGGCTTGGGGGCTCTGGATGGGCTGCTGGAGACTCGGAGGTTGTCGTTTGCTAGGGGCACGTCCAATCTGGCCAGACATGGCAGCTTGCGCCTGAGCCAAGGCCTGCTCCTGCTGTTGTTGTAGTAGCTGCTGCTGGTACGCCATGGCTTGCGCTGATGGTGGCGGAGACGCAAGCCCCTGTGGCTGCGGCGTGGAGGGCATGAGCGGCGGAGTCCCATTGATCTTGGAGTTTGATCGTGATCTCGATCGGTGCTCCTCGGGCAGCATGGAGGTGTGTTCTTTGGGAGGAACGTAGGCGGCGGCCGGTAGGTCCTCTGCCGCCTGGGCCATGCCGATGCCTGAGTCCTTGGCTGCCTGCGGTGCTTGGGTTGCAACGCGCGAAGTTAAGCTCACCGGTGGCCTCGGTGCAGGCCGGCTAGGCATCATGTTGACGTCCTTGCCCGGACCGAGCCCGCGACCGGGTACGGGAGGCGGCTGCCTCGGGTTTTCGAAGGATCCTTCATGGTTGACAGTTGGAAATCTAGGACTTGGAAGAGGAGAATTCGGCGGTGACATACCCATATAATTCGCTGTCGGATACGCGGCTGGCGACAATGCACTTCCCGGGCCGGGACTGGCGGCGTATTGGCCGTATGCTGGGGCACGCGCATCGTGGAATTTGTCCAGGACCTGGTCTTCGGGCGGTCTTTCTGTCGTCTCCTTGTAGAAGTTGAGGATATCCACCATAGTTTGGGGGTTCTCTCGCCTCTCCTTTTCGGGGATGCCACTCTCGTTGATGAGTCGCTGCCATTCCTTCGGGAGACCCTGCGTACTGTTAACATTGCCAGCTCAGCGGGTACAAGACACAGGTGGTAACGCACAGTGAACTGCCCCGTTGTGCTATCATAGCCCACATGTGTGACATGGACGGGATTTTCGGGGGCGGAGATGATGGGTTTCTTCTGAGACCCAACGAGACTATTGACAAAACCAGAGAAGCCCGACTTTTTGCGAAGGACGCCCACCCTGGGCTCCTTTGCTTCGTCTGAGAACCTTTTGGGAGTGACGACTTGTTGGTCCATCGCCCGACTTGCCTGCAGCTTCTCGGACATGATGGGATCAACCGAGGTGAAGCTTGCTGATTGTCGGAGGGCCGGGCTCATGCCGCGGATGTCTGTCTTAGACTTGATAAGAGGCGGGGGGACGTGAGGCCGGTGGAAGGCGTGGGCGTGCTGTCCGCCCGGGGACTTGGTCTGTTCGATGCGGTTTAGGATAGCAGCGCCGTCAAACGGGGCGCCGATGAACTCGTCGGATTCCCGGGGGATGCGATCGTTTGGATCAGACGAGCGATCGTTATGACGAGCGGCGGCAGGGTTGTAATAGGAACTCGGTGTAAATTGACCCTGGGGTAGTATGGGTGACGGGTTCGAGAACTGGGCGGAGGGCAGGTGACGAGGGGAGGAGCTGTTGGACGCGTTCGGAGGGGTCGACCTTGGGGGTGGAGCGCTGGGAGCTCGCTTCAGACTCGTAGAGCTACGTTGGCTCTGGAGAGACAGGGCGTCAATGCCACCATCTAGGCCACCCGAGGATCGGGTATATTGGTGACCGGAGGGTGGTTTTTTGACAAGTCTGCGACGCTGAGAGTTGGCGTTGGAGAGTTGGCTTTGGCCGTCCATGGTGGATGGGAGGGGAGGTAACAGCCGACAAGTCTCGCGCAGAAACAAAGAAAAGAAAGCGCAGACTCCTTCTAGTGGTGTGTTATGAA